AAAAAGTTTGTTCCTTATAAGTAAAAAATTTGTTTAATTCAAATAAATTATTTTATCGAGAGTATTTGGTTATTTTGATTAAGTTAATTATTTATTTTGTTCGAATGTCTTAATTTAATATTTTATACGCATTTTTTAAATTAATTTATAATAAATTATAAATTAATTAATAAAATGTGTGGAAAATATTACATTAATATTAAAAATTAAAATTACTTTTTATCCCTGAAAATGTGTTACTTTAGCTTTAAAAAATAAAACATAATTTTACTTTAAAAAAATAAAATATACTAAAATATGTAATTGAACACGGAATATTTTTAAAGAATTACAAAAACTATAACTTTATTGTAAAGCATAAGTTTTAATAAATTATAAAATTTGTCGATTTAAAATATATATGAACCAAATAATTAAAAACTAAACAATACGCTTAATCAAAGACAATTGATTTGGTTAAATGGAAGAAACACATTTTTTGAATAAAAATTTGGTTTCTGTTTTAACTAAATAAATTTATTGAAATGAACCAAATTTTTATTTGAATTAACTAAACTTTTTAATTGTGTCAAAATAAGTTAATTAAACTGTTTGATTAAGTCAAAATAACTTTTTCCCTGAGTGGACGGAAAACAAAAAAAAAAAAAAAAAAAAGAAAAACATTATAATTAATATTTACCGTATAGCGAAATCATATTAAATACCTCAGAGCGCACGCGGTAACAATACATTTCTACCTTGGGTTCTATTACCCTTGTTGTTAAACTTAGAGTTACTGAACTATAGACCGGCGATGTGACACCCATGAGTACAGGCCACGTGGCTTGAGACGTGTGGCCATGTATACCCGCGATCGTCTATTAGCTTCTCAATACATCAGGATTCATTAAATTTTATATTTCTTCCAAAAAACATATCCTTTTTATCAAAGAAATTTTTTTTTTATTTTACTTTATTTTATTTTCAAATTTCAAAAAAAAAAATTTAACCATTTTTTCTTTTTTTTTTTTTTTTTGATGTAACAAATTATTCTTAAAATGAGAATATTCTTTAATTTTACAGGAATTTTGTCAGCTTTAACTTTCCTGTTGGTCATTTTTTTCAAAAAAAAAATCATTTATTTCAAAGCTATATATTGAAAAAACTGAAAAATACCTGATTTTGGCTAAAATCTCGAGAAAAAAATGGATTTTTTGCGGAAGCTATATCTCGGTCAATTTTTTAGCTACAGGGTTAATTTTTTTTTTTTTATAAAATTACTCAGAATTTTATACACTTTCTTTTTTATAATAACTATTTTTATGCTAAAATGTCATGGAAGGCGGCAATTTGAAAAAAAACTGATTTTTTACACCTGTTTTTTAAAAAATTTTTAGGTTCCGGTAAAAGTTCGAAGTACCAAATTTAGGTACTTTTTTTTACCCAAAAAGTGAAGAGTTTAAGCAAAAAAAATTGAAGCAGTTAAAACATCTAAAAATGCTAACTTAACTGGACTTAAATATGCAATAATGTTGAAAAAGTAATCAGTCTCAGCAAATTTAAGAATCATTAAAATGATGACTTAAAATTATTTAAAATTATTATTATTATTATTATTATTATTTCATAAACATGAGTGACGCGTCGCAAAAAAAGGTACCTTAGAAGCAAACGAATAATAGGTTATGTTTACGATAGTTTTATCTTGATTAAAAACTTTTTTTTTTGTTTCTGTAATATTAAAATCAATTTTTTTGATTATATTAGATATATAGTGAAGACTTAAACATCATTGGTTTGCATTACGAGTTAAACGTCTTTGTGTATTTTCACTTTAAAAATTTAAAACTTAACCTATAATTTTTTGCTTTTAAGGTCCCTTTTTTAGCGACGCGAAGAAATTAATGAAAGAATTAATTAAAATTATATATATATATATATATATATATATATATATATATATATATATATATATATATATATATATATATATATATGTCGATAATTATATTTATTATCAAACATTTGCACTTCGTGTACGTGTTTTTAGTAACATACATGCATGTAGGTAAGTAATTCTGCCTTACGAAACAAAAACTCAGTTAACTCAGTTTGTCGTTATGGGCGACAATCATTCAACAGGATAGGCGAAAATCTACCTTAACGACAAACTGAGTTAACTAAGTTTTTGTTTCGTACGGCAGAATTAAGTTCTTTAAACTAGAGGTGACGAGATAAGAAAATTCAAACAACTTTTGTAGTTGAGTAATGTAGCACGGGTCATCCATCGAATTTATAGTTTGTAACGATTCCAATACAGTAAAAACTTTATAATATATACAGGGTGATTTTTATGTTCCAGATCCCCAAAACAATTTTTTTTTTCGTTTTTTAAACAAAAATAATAGAATTAAAAAAAATTTTTTAGGGGATCCGGAACATAAAAATCACTCTGTATATATAAAATCTGTTATAATTTGTAAAATCAGTGTTTTTTAATTTAAAAAAATAACGTTTTCGCTGATATTTTGAAATGAGGAGAATAAGATTATCGGTAAAATTACGACTATTTTCGATGTGCTTAAAAAAATGCAATCATAATTTTTAGTCACCATTTTAATGACTTTTGAATTTGCCAAGGAGAGGTGTGTCCATAAAAGGACAAATACTTATAACTTTTTTCACCTAAAATGATCAATATAAAGCAAAATAAGAATATAAGCTCTCTAAATCTGAATTAGTTTTCTACTAATGAAAGAGTGCGTATCCATTTACCAATTGAATTAGTAACAGTTTTGACTAATTTTTAGTAAAAAAAACTAGTAGAAAATTACTAATTCATGGAGTAAATATTATTTTTTACTATTTCAAATTAGTAAGCCGATTTACTCCATGAATTAGTAGTTTTCTACTAGCAATTAGTAGTTTTTTTTTTTTACTAAAAATTAGTCAAAACTGTTACTAATTCAATTGGTAAACGAATAATCACTCTTTCATTAGTAGAAAACTATTAATTCAGATTTAGAGAGAGAAATAATATTCTTAAATTAAGATTATTTTTAATATTTTTAAAATAATGAATATTCTTTAATGAAAATTTGTTTGCATATTATATCTAATTTTCGAAAATTTGATTTTGAAAGTAATGAAAAAAAAAAATAATTATAAACATATATTATGATAAACGAATTATATCTATATATAAGTACGGAATGCGGACATGCGTAATAAAATAGTAAGAATCAATTTTTCTCGAAGTAAGAGAGAGAATAAAGCAATAAATAATTTCCAGTTAAGTATTACGCGTTTTTTTTTTTTTTTTTTTAAACAACTTATGGATAAATGGAACTCTATATTGGCTTTTGTAAATAAAAGGGCGGTACTTTAGACTATGTAAGAGAATAATAAAAATATTATACAATGTATACATTTTATCGAATGTGTCACATTATTTTCTATATAGTATTATAGTATAAAGTGTGTAAAAAAAATAAATAAACGCCTTTTTTTTAATTTTTGGGAACAAACATTGAATTTTGAAAAGATAAATCTGATTTTTGGTTTGAATTCCAATTTCTTTTATTTTATATCTATATATATAAGATTGAGTGAATGATTATCGTCAAAAAGTTTGAATCGCGCTTAGTTTTCAAAGTTTTATATAAAAGTTGAAAGTGTGAAAGTTTAAAAGTTTAAAAAACTATTTGATATCCCAATTTTGAAAATCTAACTTTTTTTTCTCTGTGCAAAAAAAAATTTGGAAAATTCTTTAATTTATTATCAATAACAATTTTCTTTATTTTGTTAATTTTTATTTTACATTTTTTAAATTTATTATACAAATTAATATCTTGGTTGTTATATATATTTTTTAATAAATAAAAATAATAATAATAATAATAATAAAAGAAACAGAAAGCGTTTTTGTTCGTTATATTGTAAAACGTTTTTGAACGTTTGTTAATTCATTTAAGTATAATTTATTTTTAGCTGTAGAATTTTTTGCATAAAACGTATGAAAATTCAATTTTTGTTTTATAGAACAATTCTTTTTTTTTTTTTTTTTAATTTTTTGAAGAATTTTTATTTTCATGACAAATTATTCTTATATGATTTTTCATTATATCTTTTGTATAAAGATCCTCGCAAGTTTAAATCAACTTGAAAGTTTTCATGTCATCTCTTAAATTTGTTGTCTCAACTTTTAAAAAGACATTTATTCTTTCAAAAATGTCATAAAAATATATAATAAAAATAAAATCTTATCTCGCACAATTTTTATTTATTTATTTTTTTTTTTTGAAATAATCATAATTGACAAAATAAAATATATTTTATTTTTTCACTGTATAAAATGAATTTCATATTGTTAGTGAATTCATAGATTAATATATCTACACCTTGAGGATACTTGTTATTACCACGTGTTAGATTCGTTAAAGAAAAAAAGTTGTCAAGAACAAGGAGAAACAACTTGTTTGGAAAACTATATATATATATATATATATTGGAGTTTAAAAGAGTTTTTCCAAGAAAGTTTAAAAATTATTTTCTCCACCCTCAACTATTCTCTTTTTGTTTATATCAAATAAAATTTACAATTTTTTTAAAATAAAAATCTATTTTATGATGTGACAATATAAATTTTCCAAAAAAATTATTGAATTTAAAGAATTCAAATTTTATTCTAAATATCGTTTTCTCATACAAAAAAACAAATACTGAAACCGTTAACATCTTAAAATCAAAATGCCTGCTTGTAATTTTTATCTTAAAACTAGATTAAGTCAATTTTAGAACTTAAAATCATACACCCAAGGCTGAAATTCAGTAAAAATGGTTAACGGTTTTATAGTCAAAACTGAACTGAAAGTAAGTATATTATTTTTTTAATGTGCTGTATGCAAAAATTACTGTAGAAATGGTTAAAATATTTTATAGAGCAAAAAAAATTATTCTCAGGCAACTGTAATTGAAAAAAAATTGTTTTAATTTGGGATATAAAATATTTAAAAACATACCGGGTTCAGCAAAAGTGATAATCTCCGACGTCCTGGCGTAGAAGTCGTCCATTTCCTCCTGAGGTTCCTCGTCTTCACCGTCAGGATAGTCGTAACCCTGAAAGGGTGTGGTGGTTGGCGCAGCATCATCCGTGGTGATATCCTCCATCGTTTGATCAAGATTTCTATAGGAATACTCATCACCACTGTAAAGAAATTCGCTGTATCCCTCATTTTTTCCTTCCTCATAATTATTATTGTTGTTATTATTATTATTATTATTGTTATTATTATTATTTCGTCTCCCCGCACGCCTTTGAGGCTGGGCTTCAGCCCTGTAAAGTGTCTTAAGCGCCAGTTCTTTTGGTACATTAACCAATGTTTTATTAACATCGGGCCTATTTCTTAAACCCAATTTTATTAATATCTGATGCTTAATAGCCTCCAACCTAAGGTCATCCGGACTTGGTCCAGATTCCTTGGCACTCCTATGTAAATTGTGACCGTGCTGCTGATGCGGACAACCTGGACACGTCTGATGATGATTTTGCCTCGCTAATGTTACCGGAAGTGCTAAACCCCAAAGAATTAAGGATATCAACACCAGATTCGACCTAATGATAATTTTACTGGAAAGCCTAGAATTTGTATTATTATTATTATTGCTGCTGCTGCTTTTAATCGAAATATCCTTTCGATTTGCAACTTGGAAAGTAAGACCAGGTTGATTCGACACCTGGTGCATTTCGGCGGTGAGTCACCTCTTCTTTCTACCGCCGCCACCACTACCGATTTTTGTTTCTTCGGTTTCCTTCTTAGAAATTCTAATTGGATTTGTTGATAAATTTTCGTATTTATTGTTATTCTCTTCACTTTCACGATGGTATTTTTCCCTTTCTTCAATTTTGATCTTGATACTGATTGACCCCTGATGGAGTAAACGATTTTCACTCGGTATGGTGACAATGAAATTAGCGATGGCAAGAGGTGATGACAATAACGGGGAGAAGGCATCCTCGCCTAAACCCCCCATTACCAATGGACATTCGCCACTCTTAATTGACCGAGTTTAACACCACGTTGTACCAATTTCTCCCTTTTTATTTTCACTGACATTCGCGATTTTAGTTGTCACTTTATCAAATCCTATTTTTTTTTTTTTAAACATCCTTTGATTTTGTCACCCACTTTCCTTTTTTTAACACACTATTCACTTTAATCCAGATTTAAAAAAAAAAAAAACACTATGTTTCCTTATTTTTTGGAGAAGCTCGTTTTTTGACTTCTTAGGGCCTTCTTGATTTTCTTGGACACTTTCTATGTGTTACTAAAGCACTACGATTAATTCCACATTGATGCTGCACCATTTAAAAGTCTTCAGCATTCATCCGCATTCAACGACCCTGATTTTTACCGTCAGCTTTTGGGTTTGTTAGTCTCACTCTCTCTCTCTTTCTCTCTTATTTTTTTTATAAATCCAAAAAATGTCTAAAGTGAAGAATCTCTATAAAGTCTTAATCTATAAATTCAGAAGAAATCTTTATAAATACATATGAGAAAAATCTTCTATATAAATTGAAAACTATCCATATATGAAAGAAAAACCTATATGTAAAAAGGGGTTATCTTTTTCTTTTATAAAAAAGCAAAAAAAAAATTTTAATTTTCATATAATTGATCGAGATAGATCAATGGAATGGATCGTGGTAGCAGCTGTGGTGATAAGGGATGCGCGTCTAATCATTCCTCGAAGACACTATTTTTAATTTAAATATGAAAATTTCGGTAGTGAAACTTGTTCGCGATGTCATTTATGATTTTGAATGTATGTATATATATAGCGATAGTCGTATATATGATAAGGATTGAAAAGGATCTTGAAGAACCGAAGCACGCTTGTCGGAGGCGCGCCGGACACTGAGGTTCAACCACCACTACCATTACCAGAATTCCACCCACCCACGACGCAATATAGGTAGTCCCTGCCGGCTAAACTCTGCCGGTAACCATATATATAGAGGTGGTCCCCTATAATGTGATAGTGTGTTTGATGCTATAGTGTTTAAGGGGATATACCTAGTGTGATAGCGTCGCGCAGGCGTCCCAGGGTCGGATCCGGGTTGACTCTTACGTTTACTTAGCCGGTTGTCGTCGCCTCCCCGAGTAAAATCATCAGCTACCACGTGCTACTCGCGTGGCCTATGTCATACATATATATTTTATTTTCACAATTATAATCTATTTTTATTCTAATACCATCAATCAAATTCTTATCTTCTATAAAGTATCCAGTGTTCCAGCATTTACTGAAATTGTTCTAGTTCAAAGAGAACAGTGTTGTAGAATTTTAATTTTTGCCATACCACACGGTTGTTGGAAAGAGACGTGAGGGCGAATTAAAATGATGACAAAAATTTAAAGCACTGTTGATGTTTTAAAATGAAAAATCCGTTGATTTTTTTTTAAATCCTAGCTGATTTATTTATTTCAAGTATGCCTTGAAGAAAACTCAACGACAATTTCTAGACGATTTAGCTATGCTCCTAGTCACGAGAGGAACCCACTAAAAATTAGAGTCACATTAACTAGGATTTATTCCAATAAATCATAATAACATCCTACACTGAAAAAAATAGTATTGAATCAAGAAAACCTATGTACTTGACCGTATTTTATACCAATATTTTCTTGATCTAAGAAAATTTACTTCAAACTAATAAAAATTTCTTGGATCAAGAAAATATTGGTATACAAAATACGGTCAAGTACATAGGTTTACTTGATTCAATACTATTTTTTTTGCAGTGTAGTTAATGTAACTCTGATTTTTAGGGGGTTCCTCTTACACTAGTAGAAATTTGTCATGGAAGCACTAGAAATACTCTAGTAACTGGCCAGTTTTTCTCGTGGACGCTGATTCTAGACAAACTAGACAATTACTGAAAAGTTACTTGACCAACAGTCTTAGAAAATATTCAAGTTGAACTTGAAATTGGCTAGATTCAACTTTTGTCCAGTTGCTTGAATGGCACTGTCTAGTGTCTCTAGAAATTATACTTTCGTCTTCTTTCGTGGCAGCAGCGCTGCAGTACATGTCTAATAACTAGACAAAAAAGTGCTAGAAATCTGTGTTCACGTAACTATTATATTATTTCATTATTTTCTTAAATAATAAAATTATAATTAATTCAGGTAAATATAAATTAACATAATTTATTATTTTAATATAATAAATAAATAAAATCTATATTCACATGTTTTCTGAATATATTAGTATGTTTTTCTTTTTTATAAATTAAATTATTCTATTATCTATTATTGGCATTTTATTTATTGTTGCATTTATATATCATATATTTTTTTATTAAGAAAGTTTATTCTCAATTGATATTGAAAAAAATGTGTAATTTAGAAAACCTAACCTATAAATTCTATCCTTTGATATTAAAAAACAATAAAAATTACTGTTTTCGTTGAGTTTTTCACTTAGAAAACAATAAATAATAATTTTAATAGTAATTATTTTTAAAAAATGTCAAAATGCAATAATAAAAATATGCCTTGTTACATAGATAGGTTATATTTTATTTCTCTTTTTATTTTTTTAAATTAAAATGTTTTTATGCCTTAAATTTTTAAAATCTTTTTAAATAAAATATATAATTTTAATAATAGGTGGATTAACAGCTAAATTAAAAAAATTTTTAAATTATAAAATATTAAAATTAAGTTGTAAAAAATTAAAAATTAAATTTAAATTTTTAGAAAATTTAAAATATCTATTGTTTAATACAATAATGGTTTAATGAAATTTGTTCTGATTAAAATTGTTATTTCAAGTGTAAATTTATTTTTCAGTAAATTATAAAAAATTAAAATTCTAAAATATGTATTTTGGCAGATAATAGTAAAAATATTTATATAAAGCATGCAAATATATCTGCTATATTTTTCGTTTGATGGATATCGTTAGTATAGCAGATTGCGTAGCGTGTGTACCTCGCGCCCAGCGGACTCGTGTTCGCTCCCCGTTACCCCCGAGTTTTTTCGTTGAAATTGCGTTCTCTTCGTGTTTAAAAGTTGATAATAATAATTGTATAATAAATTACTAATACTTAAATATGTAGTTAATTCTTCCACAATTGTTTAGAAAATTATTTATTCGATTCTTAGAAGAAATATAAAGGAAAAGAAAATAACACTTTTTCCTTTTTTAATATAAAACAGACGACGTTTCGGTGGTCAGGTTCGCCACCATCATCAGGTCACTTTAATAAAAAATTGTTTATATAAATTACAAAACATTTTTTAAATATTAATCACAAATTAAAAAAAAATAAAAAATAAAAAACAACTTTTTCTTTTTTTACCTAATTAAAATCAACAAATTTTCACATAACGTCAAAAAAATAACAAATTACATTCAAATAAATAGACAAAATGCAACAAAAAATTAAAATATTTAAATCTACAAATCACCAACATATTAAGTGAAGGTGATTAGTCAAACTGACTTGAACGGTGACAATTTTCGAGATATATACAGACAATAAGGTCAATGACCCGCAATCGAAATATTATGAATTACAACCATTATTTCAATTTATTAAGCAAAGGAAAATAAGTATTGCTAAGAAACTGTATATCTTCCTTCTTGTTAATTGTGAAATTATTACATTTAATATTAATCATCTCAGAAATTAATCGTTTTTTATAAGAAGTTTCATAATCTAAAATTTCTGCATCGTCAAAATTGAAAGAATGATTATATTCATTTTGATGTTTGTTCACCACAGAATCGAGTTTCTTATTTTTATGTTCACTAATTCTTTTTTTCAAAGTACGTTTCGATTCACCAATATAAGTAGCTGGGCAGTTATTACAATTAAATTTATACACAATATTAGTACTATCAAACTTTCTCGTCAAGTCCTTTCCCAATTTAATTACAGAGCTTAAGCTTTTTTTCACAATAGGAATAGACAGTAAATTATATTTTTTTAAAATATGAGATAATTGATAATATGTATCATTAAAAGGAATACACACTTTAGGTAATTGTTGAAAAATGCTAACAACATTATTAGATTGTTTTTTATCTATTGTTCTATAAATTAGTGAATGTTTTCGTTTTTTAATATTTTTTTGAATAAATTCCAAAGGGTAATCGTTATTCAGTAAAATTTCAAAAATTCGTTTAATATTTTCACTATGAAAAGACTTGTGAGACAATAGAATAGCTCTATCATATAAATTATAAACAATATTCTTCTTTTGCTGAATTGGATGACGTGAAAAATAATTTATTAATCTGTTAGAAGCAATTGATTTTTGATACCAATTAGTAATGAGTTGATTATTTTTCTTAATTAATGTCATATCTAAGAAATTTATTTTATTATCAACCTCCAGTTCATGAGTGAATTTTAAATTAATATTGAAGGAATTGAAAGAATTAATAAAAATTTCTACTTGATCCTTATGGACGCACAAGAGAGTGTCGTCCACATATCTAAAATAAAATTTGGGAACACAATTGTGATCATTTTTAAGTAAATTTAAACAATCAGTTTCCATATCATTCATCACAATATCCGCAAAAAATGGCGATATCGGTGAGCCCATTGGGGTGCCATAAATTTGTTTATAAACTTTCTCATTAAAAACAAAATAGGTATTATCAAAAAGAAATTTTGTACAATTAATAATGTCAACAAAAGGAATCTTACACTTATTATGAATAATACTATATCTTCTATCAAGGCTTTGAATAACTAAATCGCACGGAATATTAGTAAAAAGCGAACTAACATCAAGCGAAAGCAAAACAAAATCCTGTGGTACAGTAACATTCTTCAATTTTTCTTTTAATTCAAAGCTATTGTTTACATGAGATTTTGGTAAAGGAATTACAGTTTTTAACTCTTCATATATAATTTTTGCCAAAAAATGAGTTGGACTATTTATAAGTGAAATAATAGGACGAAGAGGTGCATTGTCTTTATGGATTTTTGGTAAACCATAAAATTTTGCCAAAGAAGTATTAGTCATAGTTAACTGATTATTATGGTATTTGTTTTTAAGGAAATCATTATCATTTAAATTTTTTAAAATTTTATAAGTTCTTGATTGTAATTTAGACAAAACTGGAGGTTGATAATAAAATAAATTTCTTAGATATGACATTAATTAAGAAAAATAATCAACTCATTACTAATTGGTATCAAAAATCAATTGCTTCTAACAGATTAATAAATTATTTTTCACGTCATCCAATTCAGCAAAAGAAGAATATTGTTTATAATTTATATGATAGAGCTATTCTATTGTCTCACAAGTCTTTTCATAGTGAAAATATTAAACGAATTTTTGAAATTTTACTGAATAACGATTACCCTTTGGAATTTATTCAAAAAAATATTAAAAAACGAAAACATTCACTAATTTATAGAACAATAGATAAAAAACAATCTAATAATGTTGTTAGCATTTTTCAACAATTACCTAAAGTGTGTATTCCTTTTAATGATACATATTATCAATTATCTCATATTTTAAAAAAATATAATTTACTGTCTATTCCTATTGTGAAAAAAAGCTTAAGCTCTGTAATTAAATTGGGAAAGGACTTGACGAGAAAGTTTGATAGTACTAATATTGTGTATAAATTTAATTGTAATAACTGCCCAGCTACTTATATTGGTGAATCGAAACGTACTTTGAAAAAAAGAATTAGTGAACATAAAAATAAGAAACTCGATTCTGTGGTGAACAAACATCAAAATGAATATAATCATTCTTTCAATTTTGACGATGCAGAAATTTTAGATTATGAAACTTCTTATAAAAAACGATTAATTTCTGAGATGATTAATATTAAATGTAATAATTTCACAAT